ATTATTCTAATCGGTAAAACCAAGGTCCGAATAGTATGATCCAAGTTAACCACATTAAATTCTTTAGAGCTTGCGGGAATAGTATTTTTTGTAATATAATTAATTATCATGGATGTTTTATTATTCTATAGCTATCCCTGTGCTTTTTGTTGCCTGCACAAAATTTGGTTGTCTAATGCTAACCATTTAGCGTAACGATAACATGTGTTTATATATATTATTTTTGGTTTTCTGAACTGGCTGCTTTTTTTTTTTTTTTTTTTTAATATTTAACAGTAATATTTTAAAATTATTTTCATATGTTTATTTATTTTTTGTTTTGTTTTATTTATTTTTCATTTTGAACCAAAAACAAAAAACAACTCATTAAGTTTTAATAGTATGAACCAAAAACAATGAAAGTTTTGTAACGTTATACTACATCAGCTATTTACTAAAATACTAATTTCTAATACAGTCGAACTTAGTTATCTTGAATTTCTTTAACTCAAAATCGTCAATACCTTGAACTTTTTCTCCGGTTCCTAGAATTTCCTATTTAAACAATGTAAACAAATCTTATTTAACTCGAATATTTTCGTGAATAATTCGAAGTTTTGAGTTTTATTAATATTATAAAATTGTGATATTTCCCTCGTGTATCTATGTATATATTTTAATATTGAAAATAAGGTCATTATTCATTAATGTTATCGTTACCGATAAATGATTTAAAACGATTCATTACAAACGCTGCGATCAACAGTAAAACTCAAACAAAAATATATACCTTTTGAAATGATTTTCTAACCTCATTTTCATTTATGCATAGATACATAGCTCTTTAAAATTACATATACATAATTCATATATAAATACACAGTAAATATTTTTTATTACATTACTTTATTCATAATAAATATATAGGAATTAATATATTTTGTACTGTTTTAAAAATTTCCAATTTGGATAACTCGAACTTTTTTCTGGTCCCTTCAACTTCGAGTTAACTAAGTTTAACTGTAATAACTAATAATTAGTAACACGGATGGAAAAAAATATCTTTACGTGTGTATTTGCCAATTATTTAAAACATAAATAACTCGATTTTTCATTAACGTATAGAATCAGAAATAGACTTAAAACTTGCTCTTTGATGTATACTCTTCCATTTAAAAAAACAATCAAGATAATTGGATGAGTAGTTTCAGAGAACATGCGTGACTCGGATTTCTATTTTCAAATTTATATATATAGATTATACATAATTTATACAGGTACCTATACAGATAGAACCCCACAAAATAATCATCACAATTATCATCACCCTAACAACGCCTTACCATGAAAATAATAATTATTGTTCACAACCATTTATTAATATCGGGGGCTTATATTATACCTAGGTAATATACTTTAATTTGATAATGTTAATCATAAATTATAATACATAGTACAATATTGTATTATTTACACGCGAAGTCGGATTATTTTCATTCCATACTATGACATATTCCTCCAGAATACACAAAGCCTGAACTCTTCACTACTCCACCTTACCCTACTGAAAGAATTTTTTTTATTCAACAGTCGAATTTAAAAGTTTTTTATACTTAAATTAGAGATTTTTGAATAATTATAGTACCTAATACAAGGAATAGTCTGACCATTTACCTACCACCCTCCCAAATTATTCCGCCTAAGGCTGGCAATAAAGACTAAACGGACTATAAACGGTATGACGAAATTACTCAGTGGCGTGCCCTTATATTATAATACGTAGTACATGAGGTTTTATACAATACGGCGCCTAACGTGTACGTGTAGCGTTCGTTTATATCTGCTTTCAGTAGTAGTCGTGGTACAACTCATAATGCTGTACTACCATGTATACATTTTCTGGGGTCTGGGTTTTCATTTTAATTCATCATCGTCGTAATGTCAGGCCAGTAAATAGGAAGCGTTATAGCAGCATATCAGACAAAAATATTTTGACGCACAGCTCTCGATCCTCTTAAATTTCATCTCTCACATAAACCGCCCTCACACAAGGTTATTTATCGAGTATAGTCAGGTGCGAGTCGCGTACGGTGAGATAAATTGCGAGCGTTGTTGTAATATGTTATAAAATAATAATTGAAAGTTTATTGTTGTATAGCGAAAGCGTCGTAATAACCAGGTCGTGTGTCGCGAGCCACGAATGACACCGGTATCGCCATATAACATTTTATATGTTATATATTATATTATGAGTATATTGTACGTGATGGGAGTGTATAAAACAACAACACACACACACGCCGTATTACACAATATTATTATTATCTAGGCCGATTTGTGGACGAAATCGTCGAGTCGAGCGCACGCTAAATAATAATACACCTATCGTCCGAAGCGTCGTAAAAGACTTATAGGAGCTATTATATCGTCGTTATTGTAATACCTACTGCGTTGCGTGCCGTTCGTCGGTATAGGATAGCAATTAAACGATAAATCACGGATAGGCATATGGGCATTTTCCTCGGCCCGTCGATCGATAGCGGACCGTTGAAATCATATTATTATTATAATGCCGCCGAATCGATAGTGTGCGTTTGCGGTACGAACGGTGTGCGCAAAAACACCAGAGTACACCACACCATGACGGCATGTTTCACAGTGAGTTTCGGCGGCCGACGGGCGCCCCACACAAATTAATTGCTCGCCGTTTGCAAAAAAAAAATAAGACAAAATAAATATATTTCATAAGAAAATTTATTTCAAAAGAAACGTTTCCCAATTATTTTTAGTACCACCGCGTTGTTGGTTTAATTATACGGTTCACAGGTTCAGTCTACTCGGTGGACCGGAAAGTGGCGAGTTTAAACATTGTTACACTCCACACAATATAATAGTAATAATAATAATAATATCAAACACTCTTTATAATATTGTATATTTTATTATTTTTGATATTTGTGTTCAAATGAGAAATTGCAATTTTGGTTCTTTGTAGTCTTGTAAACGGGCAAAATACTTATGATAAAACCCGGTGGTGGTTAAAGAATTATTATTATTTTACATCACATTCGGATTTATCTTTTTTGACATTACACATTTGTGTATAATATGTTGCGGCGTGTACCTATAAGTACAGCATGTGCCAGCAAAATATACGCGTGTATAAAATAAATGTAAATTGTATAATAATAATTATTATTAACATTAATTATTCGTTAAGCGAACTATCTCGTTTGAGTTACGAACATATTATGCGCTGCAGCAACAACACTAGACATATTATTTTGTGTTTTTGTCATTTTCGGTATTGTTCCGTGACTGAAATCTGATTCCGTTTGCCAGAATTCAGAAATATAATTACAATTAAATGCTCATTGTGAAATGTGGTGTTCGTTTTGAAAGTATTGTTTACTCAATCCAATCCGGTTCAGACATTTCCGATCGAAAAATCTCTTTGAGATATAATTAACGTTTGCAATATATTAGTACAAATAAATAGGACAAATTAAATTGAATCAACGTGGTTTAATAAGATCTGTATTATATTTTATTTATGTCAATGAAATCTAAGGAATTTCGATGATAGCAGGTTAAAAATCCAATGTGACTTTGTTTCATTTCCTGGGCTATATGTCAGATCTACATTACAATCTCATCACTAATTCCGAGTAAACCTTATTTGTATTTTTTATCTACCGGTTTTTTTTTTATATTTGTTCGTAAACACATTGTAATTTTTCGATTTTTTCTTCAAAACGTTTCAAATACGAAAGTAAAATGAACAACTGTCATACTATTTATCCGTCATTATAATTGGTATAATGCGCTTTAGTAATGAAATGACACCTTCAGTTTAATACATGTAAATGGATAATGGTCTCGCATGTGATAACCATTTTTTGCCAAATTTTAAATATACTTGTTAGTTGTTATAATATTGTTTATTCAAATGCGATAACATTATATTGCTTGCATTAAAGTTTAAAATAATAATTTGTCAATATCCTGCTCTGAGATGAGCAGGACGAAATTCGCTTCCTAAATATAGCAAGAAACGATGAGTAGATAGAATATTTTTATTATTATATTCTATATAGTGCTGGTAATTTCTAATCGATATTTTCTGGAGCTATTTCATAATTTAATATAAAGAACACCAAATAAATCAAAACGTAGGTACATGAGTGGGATGATTAACTTAAAGAAATTGAACATTTTCTACTTAATGATTGTGAAGTAACAAATTTCAAAAAAAAATGAATGAAAACGGTATAGGTATAGGTAGTAGATTCATAGGTATTATTACTATATTATTATAATCATTTATCAATATATAGTTGTATGATATTTTAAATTTCTTAAAATAAAGAAAAATATTGTTTTATTTATTGCATTTTAAAATGTAACATTAATATCATGTTATCATATTTTATATTGAGAAATATTGATACCAAATACTTTTAAAGTTTCAAGTTAAAAAGAGGTAACCCTGGAAAATTTATTAGTTGATAATCTAAAATAATTATTATTAGTAGTAATTATGTATCATATTTGGCATGCACGTAAACTAATCAGCATATATTAATTTTTAATAATACCCCTTAATATAAGACTTTAAGTAAGTACCTATATACACTGTCTAAAGGAGTTAAGTCGTCTCCGTTATTAAATAAACATATTATTCTACGGCGATATCCGATATCTTGACAAGACTAAATAATTTAGCTGGCGCCTATTTCTATAAAAGTAACATCATAATATAATGCATGTCAGGCACACACGTGCTGTTTAAGATGACAAACATGTTACCTATACAATTATAATATTATATGCTGTTATATTGTCTAGAGTATAATATAAATTATTATACAGTCATAATCACTATGGGTCTCATAAAAAAAAAAATGAAAAATATTTTTAAAGAATCAATTTTTAAAACTATGGCATAATATGTGTCTTAATTATTTAGTTTTGTGCAAAATAATCAATTAAAATAATGGATGAATGTGGCGTTTACTTACTTGAGCGAAGTACGGTGGTAGAACACATCTCTGGTCATCCAATCGGTTGCTCTGAACTCTTTCGAGTAATTCAAACAAGTCTTGAGTCGCACACTGAAACATAAAATAAATTTCCTTGATAAATTTTATTTTTTTTATTCAATAAACAACATGAAAACTAAAATACCTAAGAAGTATTAATACATTTATACATCAATTGAATTAATCCCAAAACCAATTTCCCGTCTGGACTCGAAACTCCAGATTGGTGTAGGGAAATGACCTGAATAATGCAATTAAAAGGCATTTTGACCTGTATAATTACTTGACTGAATCATTTGTTGTGAAACATAGCTATGCGATGCTCTTTCCAAAAAAGGTTATAATTAATAATGTTTTTTAAATATACAAATTTATGCTTATAAATATTTCACGGTTATTTGTTCTGTTCTAAAAATAAATGGAAATTAATTTTTGCTCAACAAAAATGTGCATTGCTGCTTTTTAAAATAAACGGAATAAATGGAATTTTTGTCGAAGTATCCTTGCATGCACGTATGATGAACAACATTCGTGAAATGATTTGTTTACTTGTAATTTCACAAAGGTATTCACCATCATCGTCATTAACGCAATAAATTAGAAAATCTTCCTAAGTATATATTACTTAGAGTTTAACCATTTTTCAAAAGTTCTGATCCTATATACGATCGGCACACACGCAACTACGATTATTTATACTTAATAAATGCATTATACAGTGTATGTGTCTTTGTGTAGTTAAAATCTAATAATTAATAGATGACAAAAGAAAAAAAATTATCGTCGACAGTAGGTTTGTTCGCATAAACGATTTGTTGTTCATCATTAATAATCGTCCAACTATAGGTAAGTAATTGTTTTTATTGAAATATATCGCCGCTCGTTTAAATTTTAAACAGCGCATTTAAATTGACACTGACGTATACAAATATATTATTGAATGTATAAATACGTTTATATTTTGATGATGCAAAATCGAAATCTTTGACGAACCCAACGAATTTCCATATTTTGTTATACTTTGTTGTGGCCTAACACTCGGATATGTACGAGTAGGTACTCGTATATCGTATTACTACATATAATGAAATTATATGTATAGTACTTATTGCATTTTATAAAGTAATATTCACGTATATGAAGAGCAACCGTTTTATAATCGAGCAGTTCGTCCATTTCTGCGTTTTACTTGTATAAGAAAATGTTCACACGTGTTGCAAGGGACCAAAGCACTTAACATATATTTTATACTATTATACTGTGAATGTATTTTACTCGCACCGGATGTCCGACGCTCAATCGAAATCTCAGCGCTGACGTAGATATATTATGTTGTCTGGTCAAGCACCATAATGTATATATTATATTGTTATTTATTATAATAGAACAAAAATATAATGGTTTTGACCACAGATTTATCGATTAAACGGGGCTGCGTTGCTTCTACGAAATATTTTTCAACCGAGTGATCGTATAGGCGCGGACTAAAAGAAGTAACAGATATGTCCAGTAGTGTATCGTGAATCATATTACAACAATGATCAACAATACTATATATATTTTTTTTTTATCCACCCACCCGCTATTTTCTAATATATATCCATTATATAGTGGGAATAAGGTGGTACAATTGATGGATCGAAAGGGGAAGGGCTAACAACTTACAATAACTAAAAATATTTATTTAAGTTTTATTTTGATACCTTTTAAATCTATATATTCACAATCATAAGAATTTTTAAATTTATTTGTTCTTAAAAATTCATATGTTTAATTTAAATATACAAAGGCTTGAAAATTTAATTTTCTAAATTTAATATTTTTTTTTACAAAATATGAGATTATAACTTAAAAATATTAAGCCATGAAAATTATTTATTTACTATGATATCCTTTCGATCACTCGCACTGAAGTGGTAACTGAAAATGTTGTTCTTTTTTCTTTTATCGCATTAAATACTTGTTAATTATGACATTTTCATCAATTTGATACAAAAATAATAAAATGATTCACAATTCCACCTGACCACAGTAATCCGGTGTAGTTTTTCGAGAAATATATTCAATTTGTGACATTTGTGTACAGGGCAATCATTGAATTGATTCCCAGTATAATTTTCAACAAGTGGTTCTCAAAATATCAAAGTTGAAAAAAGTATGTGAATTTAATATTTTAGCGACATAGTGTCGGATAACTGCTTGATATTATCTAATCGTTAATCCAATAACGCATTAAACGATCACAATCATATCGTATTTATACAATCTAACTACCTATATATAAGAGATTTCACTGAAATCATTAAACGTAGAACTCGCAGTTCATTGGACCATTAAAATAAATGTTAAATGAGCAAATTAATGCATAAATCTTAAGAGTCAATATAATACGTAAAAATATCGAATACCTGAGTTAGGAAATAATTCAATAACTTCGGTGTACAGGACTAAACACTTAAATTACATACCGAGTTGACTAGGTGAGTTGAGCTAGAAGTTTGTTTTTAAGTAGAAAAGATATGTATATATATATATATATACTGTTCTTGGCCGGGGAAAAGAAAAATGTGTATTTTCGGCGGAAACGGATGATGCCGATTTTAGTACTTAATTTATGTTATATTGTTTAGCAGAATGAAACAGCGCCGACCTGGTTGGAAAAAAACACAATATACCTATTATATTATTAACAAATACAACCAGCCGCCGCCTATAAGGGTACAGCGTATATGTTGTATGGAATATCCAGTTATCCAATAATGTGGGACATAGAAAATAATTAAATAAATCGATAAAACTAATTTCTTATTTCACAGGTATTAGGTTTAAATCATGAATGAACGTGGAATTGTATTCCGCTACAGAGACGTATTTGTTGATGATTGCTGCGATCCTTTATTTATTAATTTATTTTAAACATAATTCAGCTACAACAGTTTCGTGTAGTCGTGTGAGGCACAATATCATATTTTTCCGCATATCGTATAATATGATAAGTTATAAAATATTCGTTTTTCTTGTGTGATTTAATTACTATCTTAACTACACGTGTGCAGATAATTTAAACGTTATTAATGCAGGCACTGTAAACAAAACCGCAAAAGGGCCCTTTTAAAATATACACTGAATAATGTCAAAAGTGTCGCCTGTGTACAACATTATTAATGTTTACCTGCACGATATTGAGCTTGGCCTTAAGTTTATGTATGGTGGTTAAAAAACGAAAGTCATCGAAAATAAATAACTCAAATAAAAACTGTGAGATAACCATAATAATAATATATAATATAAAAAAATATAAACAGATACTATGTAGAGGTACTTGCCTGTAAACCTTTAACAACGTTTCGTATTATCTTCTTAAATAAGTTTATATTCGATATAATATAAAACTATATATATATTTACAATTGGAAAACACAATGAATAAATATTCGGTGAACTTGCAGCCACGGCGAAGCGCAATGAAAAAGTTTTTTAATAGATACCTGATTCATAACTTTTACAAAATTTCTTGTATTTAAATTGCCGATAACAGTGAAAGACAAAAATTCGAGACAAAAATGTGCAGGGGCTCAATACCTTACAGAATATTGTAAACTGCGACAGTCACGTTTTCGCTATAAGTATAATGGTGAACTCGCCGTTCTGAACCTTCTGCATAAAGGTACTCTACTATATAACATAATATTATATACGTCGAAGTGTATGTTTATTTATAAAAGCTATATATTATAGACTAAGTGTAATTGGTTTCAAACTGCGTCAGAAAGTGTATGCGAGTGTGTGTGTGTTTAATATTTGTACTATGCTCGTTAATTGATTCGAAAGCCACAAATTTTAATTATGCAGTCGTTAAAAAAATACATTCATACAAGTCACATATAATATGCGATACGATTTTCCAACGTTTAATCACTAATAGACACATGGTTTTTTCGTTTTATTTTTAATTTTATTGTATATATATTTTAATTATTATTGTATACCTATTATAGAATTTATATACATTTTTTATTTATAATATTAGAAGAGTTCCGCCGGAATCAAAATTTACTTCACATCCTTAAAGTCGAAAATAACGTTTAAATATCATTAAAATATAAATAACTAATTAGTAATAAGCTAGGTATTATTCAATAACTTTTAAAATTAAAATAGTTTGAATTTTTTTAATATTTTGATAAAAAACAACATAAATATTTAAATATTATATGGAATTTTTATCACATAAAAATCTACACTCTATAGATATAACATAAAAGACGTAATTCAAATGATTTATTTATGTGAAATATTCATTATACCTTCGATATTTGAAAATATTTTAAATCATAATCAATTCATAGTTATTTTTATTTATAATAGTATATTATAATAATTTAAAAAAAGGTATAAGTAAATATACGTCAAACACTAGATTTTATCTTTTAGAACTACACGGATATTATTAAATTATTATTATTTAATACGTATAAATTAAAATTAAAATCACTAAAATCGGTTGAAAAAAAAAACGTGATAATTAAACAATAAAAAGTTCATTTTTTATGCGTGTTGTATATTTATATAGGTATGAGCAGGTAACTTCCGTGTTGTGCTGACATACAGGTAAATATATATTTACGGCTCTTGCAGTATAGTATACTAATAATTTATATTATACTATACTTTATAGGTACCAGGGTAATAATCTTATATCGTTCTCAGCTGTAGCAGGATATATTGGCTGAGACGTCCGCAATCCGTTTCATCCAGAAGCGCGTTTATCTTTATTTTTATTTTTTTTATTTATTTTAATCATCGCTGAAACCTTAAGTGCTCAAACACACGCGCTCACGTCTGCAATACAAATAATAACACCGATGTCCGTTGAGCATCGAACGGTATCTATACTGCTTATATATACAGGGTGCTCATCCATTTTTCTTATTTAATACCTAATGTAGTTATTCTAAATCTGATTTCTGGAATTTTTATACATACTTAAAGACCGTATTTTAAAATTCTTGAGATTTTTTGTATCACTACTTAAGGAATATTCTGTAGCAATACAAATTTCGTTTTTTCTAATACTCCCCCCTTTTACTGTAAATTATTTAGCTGATCATTTTGACTTATCAAAATCAAAATTTGTACAAGAAATTTTTGAGTTATTTATGTTCTAAGGAATAAGGATAATGAGTCTATGCAACGTCTTTAAAAGACATTGTATTAAAAAATAATAGTAATTTAAATTTATGTTTATAAAAATAGTTCAAATATAATAAATTAATACTACATTTGAAATTACTTCTATTTTAAATTTTATTTAAACTATTTTTAAAGAATATCATCCTTATTCTTTGATATACATATTTGAATTACTTGTTTTGATGTAGGTATATCAAAATTTTCAAGAAAAATGATGCATTAAATAATTTATAGTAAAAATGAGTGGTTCTCATTTGAAAAACAAAAGTTTGTTAGTTTGTTTCATAAGATACTCATTAAGTGGTACAAAAAAATCATCAATAATTTAAAAAACAGATTTAAAATATATATTTAATAACTCGAAAAGTCAGAATTTGTATAATATTAATTATTAAAGAAGAAAAGGGGTGAGTATGCTTGGTGAATCATTCTGTACATATGCATACACAACACACCGCACAACGGTGACATCTCTGTTTTACCTTCGATTCCAACTACAACACTGAATTGTATTAACACTATTAACAACTAACAACACACACACACACAGGACGTGATTATTATGTTATTTTATTTTATTTTACGTATTATTTTCACTTTTCTGTCGCTACACAAACATACATGTTATGTACTCGTAGCTCTATATTCTCTTTGATACTTATCTAGTCACATAAATCTATTGGCGGGCGGGCGACAAACGACCGATGTACAACAAGACCGACGCACACAATTTACTCTCAGCGAGTAGGTATCCATCTATATATATAAATATAAAATACGTAAATCGCAAAGATAAGCAAACGGGTTTATGTTTCGCTGTGGTGTGATATACATGTGTACATAAATGTTGGTATATAATATAATATAATATTATATATATATATAATAAAATACGATACAGCCGATGTCGCCATTATTGTCGAGTCTGCTAATGGGTCTCTCGGTGGACGACTACGACTAAGGTGCAGCGGTGAACCGGGAAGCATGGCTTCGACGATCGCGAAGAATTCAATATCATGTATATTGATTTGTTATTAAACTTATTATCATATTATTATTGTGTTCGCCGAAAATTTAATAATACCGTAACAATGCGTGCATTATTATGTCATTATTCAATACAAAAAAGTATGATATCATATTATTGTGTTATATATTTACAAACAAGACCTAAATCCAGCAAATTGGATAATATATGTGCCCAGGACATCCACTTCTCCACACAAAACTCTGGGTACCACGTAATTTCGTAAATATATTTCTCAAATAATATTATTATGTGTTATTTTTTACGAATGACATAATTTCCACAGGACTATTAGATTTATATGCGAGATAAATTGTTTGTAATTAGTAAATAAAACATATACAAATGACAATAATTATTAATTTAAGTATAATATAACAATACGTTCAGGGATAATGATTTTGAAAAACTATTTCACTGGATGATAGAAGAAAGTGTCGCATTATTCTCTATCCACTGCAGTAATGTACACAGCGTTGATGTATTGCCACAGACATATAATAGTAATCCCTCATTGTCAGTGACACTTTAAGTTTTTTTTTCAATTCTTCAGATAATTTACAGTTCGTTGTTTTAAAAGGTGGTCATTCTTATTTTTATAATCTCCCCAGGAATTTTTTTCTCTATATATGTTTAGTGAATCTTTTTCATCACGTTTGTAGTTTTTACTATACATCACTAAGTACCTAAGGATTACGTTTGCACTTCAAGCGGAACTCTTGTTTTCAAACTTGGCTTTGAACAGTGATTTTTGAATGTCGGAAAAAAAAACACTTCAGTTTTTTTTTTTATAATTTACAATATAATGTTTTAATATTTTATTATTTTACTCCAGTTTTTTGACCAGTTTGGCAGGTCTAAGCAAATATATTAAAATACGTTTCGTTGACGTATAGTGTCTATAACATTAGGTCCCTAACTTTTTTTACTCATTACTCCCTTTTTATATTTATAAATCTTACACGGTTATCCTGATTAATTTTTAAAATGAACTTATATTTTGGTTTGCACAACAGTGTTATTTTAATAATTGTAGTATTCCCTAAACATGTTTTCTAAAAAAGTACACAAATTTTAAGTAAGTATGAAATTACGAATTAATTTATTGTATATTGTTAATTTTATTATATAAATTTTAAATACAATTTTATTTATATTATCTAAATGAAATTAATGCGCCTGATTTTTCTCCGAAACTCACACTCGATACAGTGTGTGTTGATAATAATTTGTAATAATGATTATTCTAAAAATTTAACTACATTCAAGGAACAATACGTCATATAAAATTCTAATAATGCGACTGTAAAAGTAAAATTTAAAATTTATATTGAAAAAATGTATATGGAACAGCTATCGCCCTCTTTTATAATGCAATATCCCCCCAATTGAGATTGTAATTTTCATTGCCCCTCAGGATAGTACTATAACATTCACTTTGAGAAACACTGACTTAGATTTTAAACAAATGAATTTGGATTTTGTCCTTGTCATACTTGAGTACTCATGAATTGTGCTCGGTGTAAATACAAAACGATAATATTCAACAAAATCGTCTGTTTTTATTATTAAATGCGCAATGCATTAACTGCGCATAGAGTAAAAAAATACTTCTTAATTGTTTCAATTAATGTGATTTAATGTTGTGCATTTTATTTTATTTCATTTTCAACTATTCCTTTATGTATACGAGTACATACATATCTATGTGCATATTAAAGTCAGAGATCAACAGTATTTTTTATTTTGTATTTCTTATACCTGATGTGATATATTTTTCTTATTTCTAAATAAAATAATCTACCAAAGCTAGATAAGGTTGTTGGTTTTTTGGAGTTTTATAAAACTATTATTATGCAAAAAATAAAATACTATTTAATCCCTAATGCGTAACCGAGACCAAATTTATTACGCGTTGAGGTGACATTTGTTGTATATATACGTATATTTATATAAGAACTAGAGTTCATTTAAAATTACCAAGGACCAGGATAAATTATTACAACACAAAAACAAAAGAATAAAAAGTTCATTATAATATTCAAATCCCGGATAACTGAATTATGCATAAAAACGCATAAAAACCAAAACAAATTGTTACACCACTAATAAACTAAACTACAAAATAATGTCGGTATTATTAAGTGTATATTAAACCGATGTATAAATAGTGCATATTAAATAACGAATGTTTTGTTCATAAATTAAATTAACTCTACCACCATGAATGTGAAGTTTAATAGAAATTACGAAATCAAGTTTTACTTCCATGCTATCCATCATTTATAGACATTTAGAAATATTTTTCATTTTTATTTTTTTTAAATATATTATATAAATATCTAAGTAATACAAATGTTTCAGATAAATTACTTACTTTGGTTTTATGATGTCCAGTGGTGGCACAGGTCCTGACATGCTGACAATAAAGCTGTCCATCAGATTGCTGCCGCCTGCAAATAGTTAAGAGTAATTGTCAATATTATACTATAGGTAAACAAATAAAAATGTTTATTTTATATATTATGCAATTTAATTTTAATCTTTATAAACGTATGTTATAAATAATACATTATAATAATGAAGTATGATATAATGTCATTTACTATTTAATAATTATAAAAAAAAAATCAATTTAACTAGGTATATAATTCCCAAAATATTTGGTATAATTTTCCTTTTTTTTTTTTCTTAAGTATAAAAAATTAACGCAATACTGAAAAGGGTAGATATGTTATTTAGATGATTCAATCCAAGAAATAATATATATATATAATATTAAATATATACATGTTATTGTCTTATCACGTCATAAAAACCATTATTCATTTTTGTCCCACACACACATTTTGAAACGCATTAGCTAGATATAGGTTTATATACATGAAATTTTTGTTGGAATATGACAGGCATAACAATGAAGAGGTATAATATGGTATGTATACAATATTAAACTTATATGTGGTATCTATTGGTAAGATTGTAAAGGTTAAAAAAAAACATATTGGACTTTTATATACATATGGACATGCTGCGATACGAAGACGTCTGAATATTCAATAACATATGCCTTAATTCATAGGTCGTGCTGTCTTGGTACTATAAAATATTAAAGAAAATGGAAATAAAATATCCTCAAAATGGCTGCTAGCCGAATTAAACCCATATTTGGATATTATTTATGGTTTAACTTTTGTTTTGAAATATTATACATCGTTCTGACAAAAATCGCAAAGTATCTCCATAATTTTCGGCTTGTACGAAAGCAACTCCATGCCACTAGGTGTTATTTATTAGTCTGCAAATCACGCGTAGACATTTTATCTGCGCATCATCTTACACTAATTTCAGAAAGAATGAACGCATGCTATTCACTCATTATACATCAAATACCTATAGTATATGCACATAGCAAAACGTAACGATGCGAAAATACTAGTTATACCTCGATCGCATTCGAAAACAAGGCAAAATGAAAATAAAATAAAAAAAAGGAGAAAAACTCTTAGGTACATAAATTGCATTGTATTGTGTATTATAGGTTGACCTACAACAAAGGTGTTCCATTAGGAAACCATGTCCGAGCATGCAAAGACAACATGTTCTCTGTGTTTCAATTTATTTATTTCGTATACACATATAAACTATATACAATATCTACACACACATAATATACACATACATATATATATTCTTGGCACTTAAATAAAAATAAAAAATAAGAAAAACGGTAAACAACGTAATTCTAAACAAACACACATACGGTGTTTTTTATTTAATATTTTTTTTAATCTTCAAACGAAAAAAAAATAAGATCAAATTTTCCCATGACACGCGCTTCTTCCATTGCGCACAAACACACATAATACCATTTCATATTGTGTACCGCACATTACCGGATATAATAACATTTATATTTTACATTATTTTGAATATAATAATATACGAGTGGCCATAGATATCGTGGGAGATTTTCGTACGCCGTGTTTAATCGATTAAACACTCCTCAATTGTTTGACGTGTTAAATAAATATAAAAGTGCGAGCGAGCATCATAATATTATAATATTATAATGCACTGTGGTGTAGTTTATAGTCCGTTTAATTCATTATACTCTATGCGGGTTTACTTTATTTACACACATCGCACTTGTATGCTCATCTCTAGGTTCTAAACATCACAAGCGTATAATGTTACGGAATTACTATACGCCTGCAAACGTCGTACTTTGTAATATAATTATATTCATATGTGTATATTATGCTAGTAAGTTGTGGTGAAAATTGTTACAGATACTAGCCACTAGGTGTTCAATAGACGAAAAATAAATAAAAATGGAATATGAAATAAAAAAATATTTTATATTATATATACTATGTATATAATATGTTGAACAAGTGTATTGAAGTGTACACTCAACAAATATTTGGTAATAATTTTAAATTGAAATGTGTCACTTATTCATGGCACTCTTTGTACCTATTATCTATAGACGGTAGAATAAATGTAAAATATTTTTCTATTAGTTGGTCAAAACTGAAAAATGAACCAATTACTATACATAGTACCTATATACTATTAGACCCCGTAGCTATATATAAAGGAAATGATTCGTTACTTGCCATATGAAAACTTTCAGGTAAAACGAACTTTTGCTTCTGAATATTTTTTTTCTTTAATATTATAGTCATAAAAATAACGCAATGTAATATATCAGTACATTATCATTCAACGATGTATTAGATGATAACATGTCAGACGTTAAAGATGTTTCGCGTTTCACTTCATAATGATATTACGTAGATATTACATGATCGAAAACGAAAGAGATAGTATGAGCGAGTGAATAGAGAGGAAATAGATAATTCATATCTATGATGTTTACAAATAAGGACATAATAACAAATATGTAATATAAATATTACCTATGTATACAGATTATTATAATACGCATAGATTCGTTTGCTGTAAGAATGTTGTAGTAAAATATTTAAATATTTTGTTGTGTTTCTACCCACCGCCATGTATGTAATAATAATTAATTTAAATAATACATGTACGGCATATATAGGTTATTCAAGTTTTACGAGCTAATATGTAAGATTTTGCAGTTATAACAGTGTACAATCACTTATAAAATAACATCAGCGTAGTGATGCGATATTATACATTATTAATTTACCCACACGGGTGTTTTCATAATCCCATTTTACCTTCAAGTAAAGAGAGTATGTCTCGATTAGAACATAATAATGCATATTGCTTAATCCGTCGACCTTAATAACAATTGTCCGAGGGCAAAGGGCGAGTCAAACAAACAGTGGCTTGAGCGATTTTCACCGCAGTTTTCGGTGAACCCGAAAATTCAATCATGAAGGACACGTTTGCTCGTTTGTGTCTGTTAGAGGCAGACACGTCTCATAAACGAGATACACAACGAATCCTCTCGTGAAAACCGCACACAATTGGTCAAAGTTTTCCTTGAGAACCTGTACACGCGTCCTTAATATACCGCACAATGGGTTTTCGAGGTTAAACGAAAATCGGTTTAGAACTATTAAAGACGTGAAAACCACACGTATATTACCTATATGAATACATGTATAATGTATATATATAATATATATAACAATGGCATATATATATAATGAATATACGCTTACATACCAATATATCAATTCATAATATAATAAATATCGGGAATAACGACGTATATAAACTACTCGATATCCACATTATTATTAAATACAATATCGTCACGGTCGATTTTACTGCGTTAAATGTGTATAGTAGCGTGCCTAGACGCGTCTTATGCGTACATTATAGATATTATATATGTATAACTAATTATTTTTTATCGTCAACGCAGTTTAGCAATTGACCGCACGACCGTCGCTACAGCTTGCTGTTGCAGTACATATACGCCACTGACATTATAATGTTTCTTACAGACACGTACGTGCCTAGACCGATCATAAATAATAATTAAATTGACTGTGCCCGATATATTTTATTGTTGCCTGCAGATGCCAGACCATCACCATTACAGCTGCTTAGCGTATTAACGCCTACGTCATCAACGTATGTCTGCAGAAATGGCATTATTTTTTTCTTTACATTTATGAATAAGTCACTCGACCTTTTGAACTAAGAACCGACTAGTATTATTGAGTTTTACCTATATATAGTTGTATTATTGTCAATTACGCTAGATCTCGAGTCCCCGCTATAATATTATAATATACATTGTAGACAACATTTGTATACTTCATCATCATTATCATCGGACCAAATGAATTGGCAAGTGTTAACATATCCATTTATCTATGTCAGCATATTTTGATTTTAAATAAAAGTTTACAGTTTAGTTGAATCATTGCAATGGTTTTTTCCAATCACTGCAATATGGGTATTAGCAAGAGTAAATAACATACTTATTTGTTGTGTTTTTTTGCATCACTTTATATTTACTATTTACCTATATACCATGACGCCTACTCACACCTGGGACATAACATGACAAACTAGGTAGGCACTAAATCTCCTTGAGAGAATAGTGTGTGATAAAACTTCATGAATAATACGAAGTTGTATTTTTTTAGTTTGGTATTTTTTTTTCCCAACATAAATCAAATAGATTCAAAATAAAAATATAAATCAATCGGTGATATATATGCTACACGAGAAAAATTAATCATTACCTATAAGTAACTCACGGTTTAATTCAAAAATGGAAAACCAAGATCAAATTTTCTTACAAGTAGTTTCAATTAGGATCACAAAAATCGTATCAACTTTCGGGTTAAAAACTATAATAATAATAACATGTATAAAACCAATATCGAAATAGGATAACATACATCATAAAAAATCAAAACATTTAGTGGTACCTTTAATATATACCTACATATCAGTATAATATATAATACGATGTGCAGTTTAGGTTGAAAAAAAAATACATGTATTATATTTGTCGATTTATCGAGTTTGACCTTTTGCCGAGGTCGGTTTTCGAACTCGAGATGGTTAATTGCATTTTTTTTTCAGTCGATGGCCATTGCAGCCGCCACGCATCTTCTTCGTATATCGCCTTCGTATGTGTACATCGTGTGACTGCGATTTCAACTATAGGTGTCATCGGTCCCGAAGCTAATTATTAGCGACGAAGATAAGCCAGATTGATTAATTAAAAACTACTGTTCGCATATGTATATAAAATACATCACTGCGATAGTGTGAGTGGTGTGTACAGTGTACATAATATACGTATACACAATGCTCGCATGCGTGAAGAGAGGAAATATTCTGCTGAGGTCTTATGCTGCCACGGCAGAGTGCCGGTACGTCCATTGTTCGCGGGTTCGACGCACTCAGAACTATGATACGCGACTTAAGTATAGGTATACACTAAACAATATTATAATACAACTTCGACGAACGATCGATCGATATT